GTGAGGGAGAGAAGGGAGATTTGGTCCAAGACTTGAGAATTTGAATTCAAAACCAACGATTGCTAGAGTTGTTGTCTAAGTGAAGAAGATTAGAGGGTTTCAACTTCAACTCTTGTAGATTCAAGCCTCTAGGTAAGGGATTAAACTCTTAATTGAGTAATTAAGTTGGGTTCTACAAGATTATTGATGAATTAAGTGAATTCATGTAGGAATTGCACTAGAATTGGGAAGATTTGGGCTATACCATACATACATGTTCACTTCTTCACAAATTGAGCATGCTTTTAAAGACTTCTTTCATGCATGTGTCAATCTCACTTACATTTTGGTTATTCATCATGTTTTCTATCCAATTGTCAAGTTTGATCATGTTTTGAAGATGTTGAGTTCAAGAAAATTCTTGCATGTTAAGTTCTTGAAACATTCATAAAGTTTATGTTAGAATTTTGTTCAATTGGCATACTTTTGGGCCTTGATCTCATGAAATGATCTTTAAACTATGATGTTTTGTGAGTTTCTAAATATTTTCCAAAATTTTGGCCCAAGAGGATGAGTTTTGAGCTGTTAGGTTCATGTTTTGAAGCTTGGGAGCAAATCTGGAAAATTTAGAATTTTGCTTCCACGCTCGAGCGAGGGATCCTACGCTCGAGCGACCGTCTTTGTTTTCATGCTTCCGCTCGAGCGACAAAAAGCTGGCTCGAATGTAAATTGCAAGCTCTCAGGAATTTGCGTGTTTAGACGCACTCTCGAGCTACAAGACTTGCACTCGAGCGAGGAACTGTGTCTCACGCTCGAGCGAGCGTCGAGCGAAGATCTCATGCAACCAGAACTTTTTCACATTTTACAGACCGCTCGAGCGAAGGATTCCATGCTCGAGCGACCACTCACTTTTGGCATGTCTGCTCGAGCGCAGAAAGCCATGCTCGAGCGAGACCCCTGTTTCCTCAAAAATTTGGCTAAGTGTTTCAAGTACATTTTTGTATCCTCATTCCATCCTAGACATTCCTAGGCCAGGTTTAAGACTTCATAATGAGGTTAAAGGCTAAAGACACACTAAGAACAACGAAATAAGTTATGTTAAACCAAGTGTGTGTATTCAACGTATTTATCTACCATGTTATGTAGGTCACACGCCTCAAGATAAGTGAATTGCCCACTTTACCATCTGATTGGAGCTACCAATTATCTGTGAGTAATAACTCTGTAAAGTTATGTTTAACTTTAATTATTTTCAGATGATATGAGATGATAAGTTTCTGAAATGCTATGTTTTGTATGAATGAATGATTGTCCAAGTTTCTTTGAATGTAATTGTGGTATCCTTAGCAGAGGTCCTCGCTCAGAGGACATAATATTGTGGCTTATGGTCATGAGGCCCTAGCCCGGGGGTTAATACCGTGGCCCAGGCCCTCACTCGAGGGAAACAATACCGCGGCACAGGCCCTCGCCCAGGGGAAATAATACTATGACCGATGTATGAGATATGATACCCAGTACCAGAGGTTCCTTTATGGGACTTAATAAGCTTGACCTAAGAAACATGTTTGTGCTAATGGATGTACCACGCATGAATTTGAATATGGACAAGATTATGATTCTGTTCCATTAACTGATTATGATTCTTTTTGCTATAAGATTTAAGATATGTTATGGACAACATTCATTAAAGTCTTTACTTTGTTATTATTCACTAGGCTTTAACTCACTATTTATATTATGTATGTAGGTGAGCAGGCACGTGACCAGGCCCAGAGTTGATGGCCTAAGTCTCAATTTTGGTCAGCCAACCTTTGTGCCTCCCGAGGAGGTTCCGATTGAAGTCAAGTTTCATGGTTGTTTTTGTAATCATGTTAAGCTATGTTTATACCATGTTGTACTTAGACAAAACGCCTAGTAATGTGTATCTGGAAGTGATGTGTAAAGTTTGTATCACTGCTATAAAAAGTTTTAAGTTATCGGTTCCATGTATGTCTGCACAGCTCTATGGACTATGTATGTCTTGACTAATTGCTTCCACAGCCCTTGCTATATGTTATCATGCCAAGAGGCCTTTGGTAATCCAAGGATTACTGGCCGGTTACGATGCTAAACCTATAGGGGCGGATTTGGATTGTGACATGTGTATCCATATTTGTTACTTTTATTGTAACACATTTTTAAAATGGCTATTAAAAGTGCTATTGATGCTTCAAGAATTGAGGTGCTTAATGGAACTAATTTTCGAGCATGGAAGTGCCACATTTCTTATCTTCTTGCACATGAGAAAACGTTGTACACTCTATCCACTTATAAACCAAATGATGATTCAAATTGGACTCAAAACAAGTGGATAGAAGACGATGCAATAGTAAAGGCAACCATGTTACACAATATGAAAGACAATATTATTCCACTATTTGAAGAACATGAAACTGCAAAACAAATGATGGAAGCACTAGAAAGTATGGCATTCGATTAAACACTCAAATTCAATTGCTCTTAGACAAATACAATAACACTCGTATGAGTGAAAATGATAGTGTTCGTGATCATGTTAATCAAATGGAATTAATTGTTAAAGAATTACTCAACGTTGATCACTCTTTGTCAGACAAAATGCTAGTAACTACCATACTTAATAGTCTTTCATTGTCTTGGGATCATGTTGTCACATCTCTAACTCATAGCGGACGAGAGATTTCAATGGTAACGTTGTATGTACTCTTAGTTTTGGAAGAAGAAAGAATGAAGCGAAGGCGTAAAGAAAGATTGTCTTCTAACTTGTTGATGGCACAATCTTCGACACAGTCACAAAATAATTCGCACACGCCATTCAACAAGAGAAAGACTACTTTTTTCAAGAAAAAATGAAAGAAGGGGTTCCACAAAGGGTGGAAAAAGCAGCAAGGATGGCAAAAATAACAACACAACAAAAACCAAGTTGGCCCATGCTATAATTGCGGTCAAAAAGGTCACATCAAAACCATTTTTCCTAAGAACAAGCAGAAAAAGAATCATAATCCCATTGCCATGACAGTTTCTGAAGCAATGATACACTTTAATACTTAATTGAATGTTCTTCTTACAAGATGATACACTTCTTATTCCTTTCATACGTGCTTCCTATAATGAGTATGACGTTGAGCCTCTTGTTGCTGCTTGCAATCCAAGATTTGGTGATTACCAATGGTATTTCTCATTTATGGAAATATGTGAATTGAAGTTTTGAGTTTGTCACCTGTAAAATTTCTCAGGCTTTTATAGCAATGGAAACTCTTGTATATTTTTTTTGAATTGTTAAATTGGGGATTTCTTTTGAGGCAGCCACAATGCCATGAGCTTATGGACAAAAATAAGAGGCAAAATTGGTGATGGGAAGAGGACTTTTCTCTGGTTTGACCACTGGCATCCTTTGGGGCCTCTTCATAGAAAGTTTGGGGATAGGGTTATATATGACTCTGGTATTCAGGCTCAGGCTAAGGTTGAGTCTATTGTCAATGGTTTTACTTGGAGGTGGCCTAGTTGCCAGACTTGGGAGTTAGATGAGATCAAGAGTAGTACACACCTGAGCATTTGAGACCCAGTTTGAGTGAGGACTTGATTGTTTGGTAACCTTCTGCTGATGGTGTATTCTCTATAAAGTCAGCTTGGAATGAATGGAGGCCTAAGGGTCCCAAGGTTAATTCGTCTACTCTGCTGTGGTTTAAGTGTCATATTCCTAGAGTTAGCACTGTGAGTTGGCTTGCTTTCCAGAATAGACTTAGCACCTTGGATAGGATGATTATGTTTGGTATTAGTGTATCTGCTACACGTGTATTGTGTGAGGAGCAAAATGAGGACCACAATCACCTATTTTTTGGCTGCTTTTTCTCTCAAAGAATTTGGCAGTCTTTGCAGGTGAAATGCAATATGCAGTGGCCTCATCTTCTTTTGAGCAACTTAATTGATTGGTTTTCTACTCATACACGTGGTAAGTCTTTGTCCACTACCATTTACAAACTTGTGCTTACTTGCTCCATCTTTTGTATTGGGCATGAAAGAAATTACAGAATTTTCCAATCAAAAAAGTCTAATGAGAATTCTGTGCTGAGTAGGATTAAAAATCTGATCAGACATAGATTGTTGTCTGTGAGCAAGTTTAAAGCTGATCAGGCTAATGATTAGCATATAAAGGAGTGGTCACTTTCTCCTTCTATTGTTCAATCAAATGGCTAATGTTCTGTTTACAGGTACACTGAAGTTGGTTAGTGTTTTTTTTTTTTTGGATTCGTTAGCTAACTGTGGCAGGTTTGACTGGTACACTGTAGGGAAGATGGTTGAGTGATGGGAGTCCTAAAATAGGTTAGTGAGTGATATAGTGAGTTTCTTTGAGGGTTGAGTATGTGAGCCCTCAAATT